AGACTTAAAAAGTGACAGCTAAATACAGAAAGGAGAAAAAGAAATGCCTTGATTCAGAAGCTGCCACGCCATGAGTGGGTGCTCGCCCCACGTGGTGCCTGGCCACTGCCCACCTGTAACTGGCCATGGTGCACAACACAGCCACAGTGGGACTTGCTGGCAGCTCTTCTGGGTGCTCACACCCTAAAGCCAGGGCAGGCAAAGCCCTGGAGCGTCCACAGCTCCATCCCTGCACACAGCACATGTGGACACAAGGTGAGGGCTAGGCAAGTGGAACTGATCTCTCCCTGCCTGTCTGTGCAGAGGCACCATGGTGCAACCCAGCAGGATGTCATGCTCACCTGGACCTCAAGGCAAGCAAAACTGCAGAGGGTCAGAGCCAGCTGACCATCCTGATCACAGGGACACTGTGTGCACTCATGGGCATGGAGGGTATCCCTGAGCACCCCGAGCTCTCAGCGGGGTGCTCTCAAGCTCCCTGAGCTCTCAGGCATGGCAACGCTGGGGCTCCCCAAGCTTGCAGGCAATGCAGGGTGACACCGGGCTCACAGGCAAGGTGTACCTGGGCTTCCCAGACTGCAGGAAGGGCAGCGTGTCCCTAAGCTCACAAGAGACCATCTCCAAGCAGAAAGGGATCCCCAGGGCTCCCGGAGCTCGCAGGCAGGGCAAGGCGTCCCTGAGGTCACCGGCAGGGTGCACCCAGGTCCCCAGGTTCACAGGCCAGGTGTCCCTGAGCTCACAGGTATGACATCCCCAGGGCTTCCCAAGCTCACAGGCGAAGCAGGGTGGCTCCGGGCCTGCAGGCACGCTGCTCCTGAGCTCCCCGTGCCCACAGGCAGGGCGTGCCCGGGTTCCCCACGTCCGCAGCCAGGGCAGGATGACACCGAGCTCGGCTGGGCGGCCCCGAGCACCCCAAGCTCACACGCGGGGCGTCCCCGAGCTTCCCGAGCTCGCAGGCAGGGCTTCCCCGGGGCTCTGCAAGCCCTCGGGCGGCGCAGGCTGACGCCGAACTCCCACGCAGCACGTCCCCGGCCGGCGGGCGGTCGCAGCGCACGATCGCAGCGCACGGCCCCGGGCCCGCAGGGCGCTCACGAGCCGGGCGGCCCCGAGCACGCGGCACCTCGCCGCCGGCCGCGCTCGCAGCCGCGGCGCGCCGTTCCGCAGCTCCAAACCCGGCCGCCCTCCCGGCTCGGGCTCCGCTCGGCGCAGCACGCGGGGCTCCGCTCCCTCGGCCCCACGGGCGGGGCGGGGCCGCCCCACGCTACGAGCGGGCCGCGAGAATCCGGGCGCGCCCCGCAGGCCTCCGCCGAGCCGCGCGGGGACCCGGCGGGCCGCTGCGGCCCCACCCGCGGCCGAGGGCGGAGCGCCGCCGGGCATTCCCTGCCGGCCCGCGGCCCGCGCTCGCTTTGTGCCGCGGCGTGGCCCGGCGCGGCCTAGCGCCGCTCCGCCGCACTACATGTCCCGGCAGCCCCGGGGCCGGCCCGCCTCCTCCGGGAGGGCTGCAGAGTCACGGCCAGGCCCGGCAGTAAACACACCCCCCCGCCGCACGCCCCCCGGCAGCGCCCCCCGTTCCCGGCGGGCCGCTCCCGCCCCCCCCTTCCCCGCGCCCCCCGAGCCCGGCGCCGTGAGATCCCCCCTAACCCCCCCGCTGCGGGGCGTCGCGGGGCCGCGGGGCCGCGTGGTCGCTGTCGGGGCCCGGCCGCGCGGCCCCATGTGCGCGGCGGCGGCGGCGGCCCCGGGAGCGGCACCCACGTGCGGGGAGAGAGGAGAAGCGGGGATCGGGGTGGGGGGAAGCGGTGCGGAGGGGGGAAGGGGGAAGAGAGCGAGGAGGGGGGGGGAGGGATAAATAATAAAATAAAAAAGAACGGAGGAAAAAAAAACGTTATTTTAAAAGGTTTTAAACAAAATAATAAATGCATTTAAAAAAAAAAAAAAAAAAGGTGGAAATGAATAAAGCGCTGCGGAATACCGCTCGCCCCCACCTGCACAGCCCGCCGATGACCTCCTTCTCGGATTTCCTGAAGTGCTGCAGGGAGGGCATCTTCTGGGCGGGCACCACGAAGTACTCCATGCCGGGCGGGGGGCAGCGGGAGGGCTGCGGGGCGCCGCTGGGCGCGGGGCCGGGCGCGGAGCGACTGCGCCGGGGCTGGAGCGGGCGTGTGTGTGTGTGTGCGTGTGTCTCAAGGCGGGAAACAGCTGGTGCGAGCACAGCAGCGCTCCCTCCCCCGGCGGCGCCGCCTCCGCCAGCCACCGGCCCATGTAAACAAAGGACGGCGCGGGATTCGGCGGGGAACGGGGCGGAGGGGGGAGCGCGGGGCCGGAGGGGCGGCGGGGCGCCGCTGGATGCGGGCGGGCGGCTCCCCGCGGCGCCCCGTCTGTGCCCGAGCCGCGGGGTGCTGGCCCGGATGGTCCCGTCCCGGCGCCGGCCCGTCCTGTGCCGTCCCGTCCGAGCCTGGCCCGTTCCGCCCCGTCCTCTCCCTGCCTATCCTATCTCGTCCCGTTCCGACCCCTTCTCTCCCTGCCCCATCTCATCCGATCCTACGCTACCCTTTCCCACCCCCGTACTGTCCCCGCGCTGTCCCCGTCCCGACCTGTGCCACCCCGGCTGACCCGGCTCAGCCCATCCCGTTCCACCCCGTCCCGTCCCGTCCTATCTCGTCCCATCCCGTCCTGTCCCATCCCGACCTGTCCCACCCCCATCCCAACGCATCTGATCCCGCCCTGTCCCCACCCCAACCTGTGCCACCCGCTCTTGTCCCTATTCCATCCCATCCTGTGCCACCCCTTCTGATCCTACCCCATCCCATCCCTTCCCATCCCCATCTTGTCCCATCCCATCCTCTACCACCCCTCCAACCCTGTCCTCATTCCATCCTATCCTACCCCTGCCCTATCCTATCTCATCCCATTCCATTCTGTTCTATCCACATCCCATCCCGTTCTGCCCTCTCCCCATCCCATCTGATCCTACTCCATCCTATCCAGTCTTCCTATACTGTCTTCTCCCATTCCCATTCCCACCCCATCTGATCTTGTCCCCATCTCAACCTGTGCCATCCCTTCCAACCCTAATCCACCCCGTCTCACCCCATTCCATTCCACTTTGCTCTGTCTTGTTTTCTCCCATCCCATCCCATCCCATCCCATCCCATCCCATCCCATCCCATCCCATCCCATCCCTGTCCCACCCTGTCCTGTCACCATCCCACCCCATCTGTCCCCGCCCCATCCCAACCCATGCCATCCCACCTGTTCCTGTCCCCACCCTGTTGTGTCCCATCCCTATTCCTCCCCATGTGACCCTGTCCTCATCCTGTCCTGTTTCCATCCCATTCCGTGCTATCCCATTTCATTTTGTTCCATTCTATCCCATCCTGTTCTGTCTCATCCCATTCCATTTTCTTCTACCCCTATTCTATCCCATTCTTCCTCATCCCACCCATTGCCATCCCCTTTGATCACACTCCACCCTGTCCTGCCCTGTTTCCACCCCATCCTGTGCAACCCCCTCTCAAGCTATTTCATCCCATTCTGTTCCATCATTGCCTCATCCCATCCTGTACTGTCCCCATCCCATCCTGTGCTATCCCATCTCATCCTATTCCATCCCTTCCCATTCCCATCCTGTCCCATCCCACCCCATTTGATCCTATCCCTGTCCTATCTCATCCCATCCTGTCCCATCCCCAATCCGATGCTTTCCTCATCCTTCCCTGTCCTCATCCCACCTGTCCCATCCCATCTCGCTCTGTTCCATCCATCCCATCCTGTCTCATCCCATTCCATTCTATCCCTGTTCCATCTCCACCCTGTCCCCATCCCAACCTGTGCCATTCCATGCCATCCGATCCCATTCTGTCCCATGCCATCCTATCCCACCCTGCCCTGTCCCACCCCATTCCGTGCTGCCCTGTCCAACTCTGCTCCATTCCATTTTATCCCATCCTGTCCTACAACCATCCTATGCCACACTGCCTGACCCTATTCTATGCCTTCCCATCTTCACTCTATCCTCTGCCCACCTCATTCTGTGCCTCCCCCTCTGACCCTATTCCCATCTCACCCCATCCCACTCCACTCCGTTCTGCTCTGTCCTGCCTGATCCCATTCAATCCCCGTCCCCACCCCACCCATCCTCCCCCACCCCCATCGGGGCCGCAGAGCTCACAGCCCCCACGGGGCTCACCTATAGGGCCGTGCCCTCGGCCCGGACCCCCCCCGAGGGGGGTGACGGCAGCCCTCCCCCCTCTCACCCCGGGGCCGGGACTCGGAGCCCCACGGTGGGCGGCACGGGGACAGACGGCTGACAGCTGCCGGCGTGCCGGGCGGGGCGCGGCCGTTGGGCGGACGTCCCCGGGGGTCCGACGGTTCCGCCGCGGGGCTGCGCCCGGAGCTCAGCTTCTTCGCCCACCCGTGACCCCCCCACGCGTGACACGGGGCGGCGCGCCCCAGCCGCGGGCAGCCCACATCCTGCCCCCGGAAGGAGCCCCGGGGACACCCCCCGCCCTCCTCCCTTCCCCCGCGGGGGGTGACGTCATAGGGAGGCCCTGCCAGGCGTGACGTCACGGAGCGGCGCTGCCGTCACGCGGGACATTCGACCCCCCCCCGCCCCCCCACTCCCCCTTAAAAAATACATCGAAGTTAACCAAGAGCGGAGGTTTGGGGGGGTTCCATCACCCCACGCGGGACACCCCGCGGTGACCCCACGCAGCGGGCGGGAGAGATCCGTGTGCGGGCTGTGCGGCGGGGGATCCGTCCTCCTCCCACCCGTGGGTTTTTCTTTTTTTTTCCCCTCTCCAACCCCCCCCCCCCCCACGCGGGGCGGGCCCAGGCATGCGCTCAGCTCCCACCCGCGAATGGCTGCCGGGGCGGCGGCGCGGCGGGGCCGGTCCTAGCGGGGAGCGCGGCGGGGCGGCCATAAATCACGGCGGGCAGAGCCCCCGCCCCGCCCCGGGGCTGCCGGGGGGGGCCCCGCCGCCACCACCACCGCCACCAACACCGACACCACCACCACCGCCGGTCCCGGTCCCGGTCCCGGTCCCCGCGCAGATGTGGTGGAGCCGCCCGGTGTCCCATCGGCGGGGGGGTCCGCTCCGCCGCACCCCGCGCTGAGCCGCCCGCAGGTAGGGATGGGGATGGGGACGGGTCCCCAGATGGGTGACAGCTCCGCCTCGGGGGGTGGGTGGGTGAGGGGGATGGTGTCCCCCCGCTTTTCTCGCCTTTGTGTCACCCACCCGTGACCGCGTCTTTGCGCTGTTGGCACGGGGAGAGGCCCCCCCCCCCCCCCACTGTCTGGGTGGGGGGGTGATGCTTTTTATTATTTTATCAATGGGGAATCACTGATGCCATCGGGTCGCCGGGACCCCCACGGCCCCCCCCGCTGCCGGAACCGGCAGCGGGGGGGTCCGTGGGGGTCCCGATGACCCACGGGGGATGTTTAACGGGGGGGGGCCCCCGCCCCATCGCGGCTCCTCCGCATTCCTCAGCGTCTGCGCCGAGCTGGAGCCCGGCCAGGGTGGGGGGCCCCCGGGGCGGCGGCGGCAGCACTGGGGGGGGGGCGAGAGGGAAGCCGTGTGTATGTGTGTGTATGTAAAAACCGACGGGGGGGTTGGGGAAGGAGAGGTTGGGGAGGGGGGGGGGGGGACCGGACCGTGCCACGTGTGCTGGGTGCGCTGTGCCCCCAGCCCGGCCCCACGGCCGCAGGAAAAGGGATGGGGGCACCGAGGGTGGGGTGGGGTGAGGAGGAGCCCGGGGGGGGCCCCCCCGCAGCAGCCCCTGCGCGGCCCCCGGCGGGGAAGGGGCCCCGGAGGGGGGGAGGAAGCCGGGGATGGGGCCAGCGCTCTCGGGTCACGGCGGGGCTGGAGCCGCCGCCGCCCTGGGAAAGGGCTCCAGAGGGCGGGCGGGCTGGCGGGGGGGGGTACTGTCACACCCCCATAGCGCAGTCTTTCCCCCCCCCCCCCCTCCGGGGGCCCGCAGCTCCCGCACTGCCCTTTGCCCGCAGCGGAGGTAGTGGTAGTTGTTGTGGGGGGGGGGGGGACAGCAGCTCCGTGCCAGCGCCCCGCGGCCTTGAGTCCTCGCCAGCCCCGAGGGAAGCGGGGGGGTGGGGATGAGGGTGGGGGCATTGGGGGCTTTACGGCCGTGCGCCCCCCTCCCCCCCGTACCACCACGCACGCCTTTACAGCAGCACCCCCCCGCCCGGCGCCATGCATTCGCTGGACGAGCCGCTGGACCTCAAGCTGAGCATCTCCAAAGTGCGGAGCGCCCGAGAGAAACGGGAACGCGGCCCCCCCGGACCACGGCCCCGCGCCGTTCCCCCCTCCGCCGCCGCCCCCCCGCCGGTCGGGGAGAGCCGGGGCTCCGCGCGGGGGGGGCGGCGGGCAGGGCCGGGCCCCGGGCTGTTGGCACACTCCAAAGCGCTGGAGAAGCGCTTCCCGGCCCTCCCCGTCATGGACCTCAGCCTCTCGCCCCCCCCCGGCGTAGAGTCCCCGGGTGGCGGCAGCGCTTCGCTGTCCCCCGAGCGGCACAGTGACCCCCCCGTGCCCGCCCTCCCCCACGTGAGTACGGCCGCGCGTCTCCTCCCCCTCGGTGCCACCCCGTCGTCCCGGAGAGGAGCCGCACATCGGCCCTCACCCCCCGCCCCGTCCCGCCGTAGGATTTCCAGTCCCTGCGCTACATCGACGGCATCCCCGGCTCCTTCCAGTTCTTCCTGCCGCTGGGCGCGGGGGGGGCTCTGCACCTGCCCTCCTTCCTGCCCCCCCCCAAGGACAAACGCCTTTCCCCGGAGCTGCCCCTCCCCAAGCAGCTCGTCTGCCGCTGGTCCAAGGTCAGGCGGGGGCATGAGGCCGGGAGGGGGTGGGCTGTGGGGCTGGTGGGGGAGGGGGGTGCGGGAGCTGGGGCGTCTCCAGTCTTCCCTCACCTCCAGCGTCTCCTTCCTGCAGTGCAACCAATTCTTCGACCTCCTGCAAGACCTCGTGGACCACGTCAACGACTTCCACGTCAAACCCGAGAAGGACGCGGGGTATTGCTGCCACTGGGAGGGCTGTGCTCGCCACGGCCGCGGCTTCAACGCCAGGTGGGTGCAGGGGGGTGGGGGGCAGCAAGCCGTGCTGGGGCTGTGGGGGTGGATGGCGGTGGGCGATGGACGGCACCGAGCGGCGGCGCTGGGTGTCCCCTTGGGGGCTGCGGGGGGGCTGTGGTGCCGTTCTCGGCTCCCCCTGATGGTTCTGGCGCAGGTACAAGATGCTGATCCACATCCGGACGCACACCAACGAGAAGCCGCACCGCTGCCCCACCTGCAACAAGAGCTTCTCTCGCCTGGAGAACCTGAAGATCCACAACCGCTCGCACACCGGTGAGCGCATGGGGCGGGTTGGGGAGGGGTGGGGAGCACGGAGCTGCCCTCCGCGGGGGGCTCAGACGCAGCGCTGTGCCGTCCCGCAGGCGAGAAGCCCTACATCTGCCCCTACGAAGGCTGCAACAAACGCTACTCCAACTCCAGCGACCGCTTCAAGCACACCCGCACGCACTACGTGGAGAAGCCCTACTACTGCAAGATGCCGGGCTGCCACAAGCGCTACACGGACCCCAGCTCGCTCCGCAAGCACATCAAAGCCCACGGGCACTTCGTGTCCCACGAGCACCACGAGATGCTGAAGGCCCACGCGCCCCCCAAGGGCTCTGCGGACGCACCCTACGCCAACGGGGCGCAGCTCCTCCTGCCCAACCCCGCCGCCCTCTTTGCCCCCCACGCGCTGCCCGCTCTGCCCCTCCCGCTGGCTCCGGCCCCCCTCGACCTGAGCGCTCTGGGCTGTGGGGCCGGGGGTTCGCTGCCCGCCCTGCCCGGCCCCGCGCTGCCCCTCAACGGCCCGCTGAACTTGGCCAAGGGTCCGCTGCTGCCGTCGCCCTTCGCGGCCGGCGGCCTGGGGCTGCCCGTCATGTCGCTGCTGGCCGGCGGGGCGAAGGCTGAGGCCGACGAGGCCGAGGGGCGGAAGGGCGGCAAGGAGGGCCGCAAGGCGGGCGGCCGACGGACGGAGCCGGGCCGCCTGAGGGTCCCCCCCGAGAGCCTGGCGCTGCTGCCGGGGGCCGTGCTCGACCTCTCGACGGGGGTGGGCGCGGCGGGCAGCCCCCCCGAGGCGCTGCCGCCCGGCTGGGTGGTCATCCCGCCCGGCTCCCTGCTGCTCAAGCCGGCCGTGGTGAATTGAGGGCTGGGGAGGGGGGGGGAGGCAGGCCGAGACCCTGGCGTCACCCCCAGCATCGCCCCAGGCCCCGGCTTGCGGCCACGTTAACCTTCACGAAAGAAGAACGGACTCTTCTGAGAATAGCAATAATCCCTCGGCGACCCCACGCTGCCGCCCCGGCTCTGGGGGGGGTGCGCCTGGGGGCTCTGCCCCGCGCCGGGCAGCGGAGACGCCGCTATTTATTTATCGCCCAGACCCCCGCGCCGACGGAGCCCCGCTCGGGCTCTTCGCTCTCGCTGACTTGGCGTCTCCCTGCCCCGGGCCTCGGCCCCAACGCTGCCGGCTTGGGGACCCCCAGCTCCACGGCCGGGCCGCCCCGTGCCGCCACCCCGGCCACCCCCGTGACAAGGCACACGGCCGCGTGTGCCGCTCGCCGTGCCGGCTCCGCACCGGGGCAGAGCCACCGCGTTTAGCTACGTTCATACCTAAGCATGTACCGCAAGCGCACGCAGGCAGCGCGGGCAGGGCTGCGGGCAGCTGCGCGTCGGCACCGGGCGGCTCAGCGCTGCTCAGCTCTGCGCCCGCGTTTCCAGACGAGCACCCGGAGCCGTGGGGCGACGCTGACGCAGGCTGGGCTCTGCGCTGCCGGACCCCATCCCGGCAAGAGGGAGAGGTTGGGCGCAGCTGGGTACGCGGGGCCCCGCCCAGCGGCACCGAGAGGCAGGAGCCTCGGAGACGGGGGACCCCGCAGAGGTGCCCCAGGGCTCCATCCCTGCTCCCGCAGCCCGGACCCTCCTTTTCTGCGGGACCGCCCTCCAGCACGGGGCACAGCCGCCTCCCTCGCCCCGGTGCGCGCAGAAGGTCCTCCGTACCTCGCCCTGCCCACAGCTTTCTCTGAACCGAGGGTCTCCCTGACCCCGACCCGGCTGCAGGGCTCGGGAAGGGCCCCCGGCAGTACGCCCCGCGGGGAGCAGGTCTCCCCACGTCACTGTCCTCGGGCCGGGGTGCGGCGGCCGCCCGGCACTGCCACAGCATGGCATTTGCCATCGACCAGGCCTCCCCGGCCGGTGTACGTTTTCTTGTTCATTTGTTGGTTTGTTATTGCACATTCCAGGTCATCAGTATTTTAACGGTCTCTAAGTGCCTTTCTATTGTAGTTTCTGGGTTGTTTTTATTTTCCTCCTGTTGGGCTCCATCGCTGTTAGCATAGAGTTTAAGGACTACAGAAGCAAGAGATAAGCTAACGATTATAACACTATATTCCTCCATGGGAGAGGAAGTTTATTAAGAAAACAATAAAGTGAAGTTGAAGTAAGTTCCTGTTTCGGTCTGCAACCACGCTGCCCGCCTGCGCCCAGGGCCCAAGGGCAGCAAGGAGCCAGAGGTGGGGACAAAGCACTGAGCTCCTGCCAGGGAACAGAGGGGAAGTGGGTGACACGGCTGCCATCACCTCAGGGCTGAGGGCACAGCTGGCCCTGCCTGGCCTCCCGGGGGGAATGCAGTTGGGGACAGCCCTGCCGTGTCCCCACGAGGCTCCTCACCGCCGTGCCCGACCCAGCGCCCGCCCCGCTGCCCGTCTGCACGCAGCTCCCTGCTCTCACGTGGTGCAGAGCCAGAGGCATGCGTGCAGTCGGGCTGCGAGCATCCAACCCCCACTAAAATAGCTCTTGCGGCCTCCCCGGGTGTGATTTGAGCCCTGGCTGCCCTGAGGCCAAGCTGGGGACGCCCTTCCTTCCCAGTGCCACCTCCATCATCTGCAGGGCAGAACTCAGCCCGTGCCGGCCCCCTGCGCCTGGGTCAGGTTTCTGCACTGCACACCGACAGCCGGGCACAGCACCAGGGCAGCAGCACGGCTGGGGCCATCCCCTGTCCCTCCCAGGGAGCAGAGCAGCCAGGCCAGGTGGTGGAGGACACGGCGTTTATTGGCCACCTATAACTTAAGGGAGAGGGAAGCAGGGATACGAGTGACAGGAGTCACGTCTCGGCTTTCCAGCCTTTCTCCTTCTCGTCCTTGGCCTGGATGCGCAGCTCCTCGTCCAGCCGCTCCTTGGCTCTCACCACCTGCAGGATGAGGGGACGGGCTGATGCACAGGGCAGGGATGCACCCACGCCTCCCTGCCCACCAGCACCGGGCTCTGAGTCCTTCAGCAGGACTCTGGAAGGGGTTCATCCATGCCGACTGCTAGTACTGCGGGTCCCTCAGCTCTGTGCTACCCCACAGGCATCCTCAAGCGCTGGAGGGCCTCCAGCATGATGAAGGGTGGGGATAAAACCTATCCCCAACCCTTTTCTGGCACCGTTCTGCTTGATTGGTGCCAGTAGCCACCATTCCCTCCCTCAACAGCCAGGAAGAGGCAGCAAAGCTCTCCCTTTGCAGCCCAATGATGGGTTCAGCCCAAGCAGGAAGTGGTACTGTCCCAAAACATCTGTTTCTGGAAGGTTCCTGCCCAATCAAAGGTAGCTAGATGGGCTGAGGGCAGAGCTGGGAGACTCCACAGCTCTCCTTCCTTTACTCACCTTGGACTGCAGGTAGAAGGAGCCTCCCACCGACTTGTCATTCACCTTGAATAAATGGTCGTAGTTCTGTCAAAGGAAAGCCTCCGTCAGGAGCTGCCCGCTGCATTCGCCCTCCCCAAATCCCAGTGGCCTCTGGCTCCCGGAGGTGAGGCTGCTTCATGCAGTGGTGTCAGGTGCCTTTGGAGGAGCGCGTGCCCCTCTCCAGCAGCTCTGCTGGGCAAACCGTGCTGCAGCTGGAGCAGGGAGACCTCTCCCAGGATGAGCCATGCCCAAGGACTGTACCCACAGACTTCCAGGTGCCCCCAATACCCTGTGCCAGCTCTCCGCAGCCGCGCTGCTCTGAAGGAGCCTCTACCTTTTGGATCTCCTCCGGGTTGAGGTTGGAGACGTTGAGGATCTGCTGAGCTTCCTGGAGGCTGATGCCAATGATCCTGGAGGCGGCGGCGGACTGAGGCCTCTCTGAGCGGCCCCGTGCATCTGCTGCAGCTCGGCTCGCTGCCCAGGGACACCGTCAGTCCTCCACCCACACCCCCAGAATCCCCACAGCCACGGGGCTCCCAGGCAGGGCTGAGCCACCCAGCCCCATCCACGCCAGCCGCCCACTCGTTCCACGGGGTCACCCAGCTCCCCTCCCGGCCCCGAGCCGGGGAGGTGGCAGCAGGAGGGAGGTGTCCCCTCCCTGCACGAGGGGCCGGGCTCAGCTCCTACCTGCGAACTCCTGGCGCAGCGCTCTCATGAAGGCCCGTCCGACCACCTGGGCCCCGACCAGGATGATCTGCGCCAGGTACTTGGCCTGCGGGGACCGGCCGTTTGTCACGGCCCCGCCCAACCGGAGCCCCACAGACATCTTGCCGCCCGCCGGGCCCCGTTCCCCCCCCGGCCGCGGCCCAGAACCGCCTCCGCCTCCCCTGGCGCCGCCGCTCCGCACCCGACCTCGTCCCACGTCCGCTATCCCCAGACCTCGATCCCCGCGCAGCTCCCCGAGCCCTGACTCACCCCCTCCGGCCCCGTCGCCCCGTCCCAGCCCCGCCATCCCTTCCCCGAGCTCTGCGTCCCCGTTGGGGCCGCATAACGACCCCCGACCTGCCGCTCACCATCGTCCCCTCCGCCGCTTCCGCTCCCCGTGAGGACGCGGGGTCAGAGAGCGGAGGGCGCGGGGCGGAGCGTCGCCCTCCACCGGGCGACGGCGCCCCCTGGCGGCAGCGCTGAGAAGGGAGGTCCAGGCCGCGGGCACCGCGCACGCGCGCTAAAGAGGCGGAGAGCGGCCGCCATTTCCCCCCGCCCGTCCGCCTCCGTCCCGTCACACAAGCACAGGAGCCACGGGCGGGGTGCAGCGGCTTTAATGGCGGGGCCGGTGCCCTTGAGATGGCTCCTCTCCGGCGAGGCCCGGCGTCCGCGCGGTGCCGTGAGGTCCGCCTGCGGCCTAGTCCTGAGGAGGCCGGGCTCGGTGAGGCCCGGGCCCGGTCCTCGCGGCCTCCCCCTTATCCCCGCCTCGCTTACCCACTCGGCCTCATCCACGCCTTCGAAGGAGTCCTGCGGCAGCGGGTCGCGGCGGTTCCCCAGCCGGGCCACCATGGCGCTGAGGAGCTGCGGGGGAGCAGGGCCGTGGGTCGGGGCGTCACGGGGCTGCGGTCCCGCCGTCCCCGCACTCACCTCCTCCTTCTTCTGCTCGTCCGTCTTCTCCCCCAGATACGCGGCCGCAGGGACAAACTTCCGTGCCGGTGCCTCCCTCGGGGCCTGGCTGACTGTGATGGCAGTGTGATGCGGGCCGGTCCCACAGCCGGGGGGGTCCCACGCCCGCGAGGCCCCGCGCACCCACCTGGCTCCATGCCGGCAGGACGGAGTTCAGCGCGGCCCTGCTGTCCCTCCGCTCCCCCCAGCCAGGCGCCGGCGCTCAGGGCCGGCTCCCACCACACGCGGGTCGGAGGGAAGATGTCCTCTTGGAAATACTCTTTCTGCAGGGCGCGGCGCGGTGAGGACGGCCCGTCGCTTTGTCCCCCACGCGGCCGAGCCCGGTGACTACCTTGACGCGAGGCACGCGGAAAGCCACCGGCTCGAGGCTGCCCTGCCCCAGCCGCAGCGCCCGGGCGAACTCCACCTCCCGCACGTCGCACGCTGTCTTGCGCAGGAAGACGAAGCCCTGGAGGAGCAAATGTGTGAGCAGGCTGGGAGCGGGGCAGGCGGCACGGCCCCGGAGGGCCCCCCCTCACCTTGTGGGGGTCGCTGGAGGTGAAGCTGTTGCACTCGAGGAAATAGGGTGGCTCGGGAGTCACCTCGTAGAGAAAGACTCTGGTGTCACCCTGGAACAGTGGAATGGGGTTGGTGTGAGGGCACGAGGACCCCATACTGCGGTGCCCTGTGTGAGGAGCCCCCTAGAAACAGATAAGCTCCATCTCACCTTGCCGGTGAGGAAGACAACACTGGTGTCCTCATCGTAGAAGGGCAGGAGTGTGGACGGGGCCACGTCGAGGCCGAGAACGGAGAGGGGCCCATCAGGCAGGGCCTGTGCACGGTACAGAAGGATCTTCCTCTCGCTGCGGCTGTGGGGGTGAGCAGGTGCAATGGCAGAACCCGGTGTGTCCCCATGGTGGGCACTGAGGAACGCCTCATCTCCTGGGGACCATGCCCACCCTCACCTGTCAAAGCCGGACACGAGGAGGAAATCGCCTCCGCACACCCAGACCACACGTGCCCCACGGCCTCCCTCGGGGCCGGGACCCTCCTGTAGGGGAGAAGGAGGTGTGACTGGCAGCACGCCCTGCCCAGCAGCTCCCCATGGTGGGATCTGTCCCCCTCAGCTATCCCATCCCGCACTGTGGTCCCACCTGCTGGGGCTGGGGGCTGCACCGAGGCTCATAGAGCCGTAACCGGCCATCCTTGCTCACTGTCGCCAGCTTCCTCCCATCGGGGCTCCAGGCCAGGCTGAAGATCTGGGAGATGGAAGGTGCCTCTGTCATAGATCTGTTCCCCAGTGCTTGGCTGGCTTAGGGAGTTGGTGGCCAGCTATGTTGCCTTTTAGTAGCCTGAAGTCACTCTCTCCCGGCACCATCTCAGCACCATAATTCAGGAGCCAGCTTCAAGCTGCCATCCAGCCGCACTGCAGTGTGGTAGCCTCGTATGTCTGAGTGCCGCGGCCCCCCTGTAATCCCTTCCCCTACCTGGTCCGTGTGTCCCTGCAGGCACAGCACCTCCTGCCCAGCACCCAGCTCCCAGATCCGCACCGTCATGTCGTAGGAAGAGGAGACGAGGAGGTCGGCTGCCACAGGGTGGAAGCGGATGGAGTAAATCTTCTCCGTGTGCCCTGGTGAGAAGAGCAGAGTGCCAGCACTGGGACAGGGACACCAGCAGACCCACCTGTCCTCACTGCCAGTTCTTGAGCTGTGTCCCTGCACCACGCTCACCTCTCAGCACGGCCTCAGGCTCCTGCAGTGTGTCCTGCAGCCCGCCCTCAGGCACCCGCCACAGCCGGATCTTGGCATCCTCCCCCGCTGCAGCACCGACACAGGCAGAGAGACACAGGCAGGGGGTGAGCAGCAACGTGGGGCACAACCACCCATGGCAGGGTGCTGGTGCCAGCGCGTACCGACTGCAAGGCGCCGTGGGTCAAAGGGGTCCCAGGAGAGGTCGGACACTGCTGCACCATTCTGGATGGTGGGCACAGCCATGTCGGGGAGACGGCCTGGTTTGGAGAGCTGATGGAAAGCAAAGCATCACCCGGGGCGTCAGGTGCCAACGCGCTGCTTGCAGTGATGGCACCAAGAGTTGCTCCTGACTGCAGTACCTCAAGGACAGCGATCTGGCCACCAGCAGAGAGCAGTGGGAGGGCAACTCGCTGGTGGTTGGCGCAGAAGCCGTCGCTCTCGCCCGGCGTGGTGAGGCTCAGCCCCCGCAGGTTGGTGATGTGGGTGTCACGGTGCAGCACTGTGCCCTGTGCGTGCCGGAAGCGGGAGCTGGGCCCTGTGTGCGTGGATGCTGCTGAGTGCCACGGCTCCTCCGGCCACGTGGACCGGTGACGCCGAGCCCACCCTGCTGCCCGCTCACCCAAAATACTCTGCAGTGACTTCTGGCTGGGGCTGCTGATGAAGCCACTGGAGGGGGCGGTGCTGGTGGAGAGTGAGGCGCCAGCGCTGCTCGGTGAGGTCAGCGAGCCGGAGGGCGAAGAGTAGCCACTGCCCTCCTACAGGAGACAGCGGTGGGCAGGAGGTGCCCCCCAGCTCCGCCGGCCCCGACCCCCTTTTCCCTGTGCTCACACTGCGCTCAGTATCCACAGGGCCGTCACTGGGCAGCTGGGTGCTGTGCACGGCGGCGATGAGCGGGGAACAGAAGGTCTGCGTGGGTCTCCGTGCTGGGTGCAGGCTCACCCTGCCCACCTGCCGAGCAGCAGTGCTGTGACCAGCAGGCATCGGCAGAGGAGAGCCTGCCGCAGCATCCCAGCTGCTGCCTGTGTCAGGGAGCTAGCTGGTTCATCCCCCACAAAACCTCCTTTTTCTCCCCCTGGTTTTGTAATCATCCCCACTGAAACCTGCTGCTTGTGGTGTCTGGCTTATGGGGGTGCTCCTGATTTGCAGGAGGCCTCTCTGGCTCACAGCTTTGGAATCCTTAAGTGGTTCCAATACACATTTATAGTGTCTCAGAATGTCTACATTTTTAAGGAAGGTGGAGGGGAATGCCTTTTCTTGATTAGATTTTTACTCTTCGCTGCACCTAGATGGAAATTAGAGCTCAGCTGACTGCAGAAGAGCATTTCAGAGCAGTTTCTTCCTGGAAAACCATTTTAAACTGGGTGGGAGCAGATGAGATCTCCTGAAGCTGCGTCTGCATTCAAAGCCAACTGCTGCAGCCAAGGTGCAGGGCTGTGCGTCTCGTCCTCAAACGCTTTTCCCACTCCACAGTCAGGAGGGGGCACACAGCCCGTGTGCTCTGCCACCCCAAAAACTCCTTGGCTTTTGGCAAACGTGCAATTTGTGTAAATCTCCACTCCCCTTCCATGCATGTCCTGGCCCCGTCCCAAGGCAGTGCAGTGGCTGTGCCAGCGCTGTGCCCAGCCCCAGGTGCCGCCACCCACAGGGACTCCTCCTGGCTGCCACTCACCTGCTGACTGTCCCCTGCCCACCAGGACTGGGCATCTGTGGCCGGCAACATCCCAGCACAGTCAGGGAACAGATCCTCGTGGAATTCCTGGTTGGACTGCAGGAGAGGGAATGGCAAGACTGGTGTACTGAGCCGCTGTGCTTGCCCGCACATGGTGGGACGTGAGCTGCTGCTCCGCCTGCAGTCCCTTGCTGTCACTGAGCACTGGTGGCTCCACGTAGGAGACCCCTGGGCACCCTGGTGGTGCAGAACCTCAGCCCCAGAGCTGCATGCTGGAGCCTGTAGGTGTCAGATGCTGCTTGGCTTTGGGCTGTGCTGGGCACCCTGGGAGCATCCAAGTTCTGAAATGCAGCCTCCAGCTGCTGGCCTGCGGCTCCTGGCATTGCAGCTTTGAGCACCAGCCTCTGCTACCCAACACCAGCACCAGATTTCAGTTCCCAGCCCAAAGACTTCAGCATGTAGCGCCCAGGTTTCATCCCCCACAGGTTTCTCTCACCTTAGCCTGGAAACCTGAGTCTCCCCTTATCCCCACCACACCTGGCTGCTCTCCATTCCCCAGCAAGTGAATGGTGAGGTAGTACCCATGAGATCGCACCAGGCACCCCACCATTGTGCCACCCATGGGGTGAGGGCAAGGGGATGAGTTGGGGGCTCCAGAGTGAGTGGTGGCTGTCTCCATTTCCCCAGGGGCTGAGCCCTGCCTGTGGCAGTGTCCCTGTGGGGGCAGAGCCCTGGTCCACCCCAGCCCGTGGCCGCCCTGCAGCAGTGCTTACGCTCTGTTTCTTTTTTTAAACGTGGGTTTTTCCATAATAGTGTCTGTTTACTGAAAAGGGCATTTTCTTAAGCTGCCACCCTGGTGTTTTTTTTCTGTCATTCAGAAAAATGTTTCAGGGGAATGATGCCAGTGGAAGGAAAAACCTGAGCACACTGGGAGCACCTTTGCCCTGCATGCTGTGGTGAGTGACAGGGAAAGCACCAGGGCATGAGGACGTGGGGTCACAGGGACCAAGCTTGGAGCTGAGGCTCTGTCTGATGGCCCCACACGCGCTCACCTTGCGAGGCACAATGTAGCTGACAGGGACAAGGAAGGTGTCGGTGAGCTGCAGGACGCGGAGCACCTCGCACGCCATGACATCCAGGGCCAGGCGGGGAATGGTGGCCAGGCCCCGTGTGTGTCCCTCCATCAGGCACTGAGTGACTGCGGACAGGCAGGACAGCCTTGGGGTGGGGCAGGAGTGGGGGTCGAAGCACCCCAGTGTAGGATGCGTTCTGTTTACCTTGGGTGAGGGCAGGCTGAGCCGATGCCGCCTCCAAGCAGTACAGGAGGCTTTCTCCCTGGCACAGATGAGGATTGCAGTGTAAGCAGGATGTAGGATCACACTGCTGCGTCCCGCCGCCCCGGCTCCTTACCTTCCCCGCCAGCACCAGCAGCCCCGTGTCGGCGTCATACAGCGGGATCACGGCCCTACAAGGAAAGGAAGGTGCTGAGCACTGCGGGATGGGGCTCAGCATCTGCCCTGGCATGTGGCAGCACCCCGATAAAGGCAGGGCTGGATCCTGCCCTCTTGACCTGTTCCCCCATGGCACCCCAAGCCCAGTCCCATTTTCCTGGTGGTGCCAGCAAAGTACTGGGCAGGGTCCAACCGTGGCCATGGCAGCAGGGAGTGCTGGGTGCCCCGGGTCTGGCACATGGGAACGGCCCTTGGCATCTCCCCCATTTACAGCTTCCCACGCTACAGCCCTGCCACGCTCAGCCCCACTGTGACAGCTTTATGGCAGCAAGACCTTGGCGGCAGCCCACAGTTCCTGAAGTGTACCAGTGTGTGGCACGGCACTGAGGGCACAGGGCATGCAGGTGCCACCATGGATGAGGGAACCCGGGGCCCACCCGGCCCTACAGGCACAGCTCTGGGCTGCCCTGGCCAGCTTGGCCAGGCTGGGGTGGGCACGGAGCCACGGGGTGCAGCCTGCACACCACACACCTCACTGGCACACGCTGCCCCACCAGTCCTGTGGTTGGGGCTGCCAGCTGGGCTGGCTGGCTGCAGTGTGCCTCATCCCTGTCCTTGTCCCTGTCCCACCCTGCACCCGGGGGATGCTTGGTGGCCGGAGGGGACATGGAGCACTGAACACCTTCCCTTCCTTCTCCACGATATGGGTGTGGAGGAGAAAAACTCCAGAGGCAACTTTCAGGAGAACAAAGGGACAATATATTACTTTCGGGTTGACATTTTTGTGGTTGTGCCGGCTGGGGGAAGGGAGCACGTGCGGTGCCGGGATTTTACACGGATCGACTTTGAGGAAACATAGCCAAACAAAGGCTGCTCGGCCCCGCAGCCCTGCAGCACGGCGGGTTCCATGGCAGGGACAGCGTGGGGCAGCAAGCTGACATCAGGGGAAGCCCCAGCCAGCATGGCGCAACCCCAGCCCGTGTCTGTTGGCACGACGTGGACAAACAATGCCGAGTGGCTGCGGCAGGCACGGGGATCGCTGTCGTCAGCCCTGCACTGCCACCACCACCAGGGGCAAAGGCTGGGACAAGGGCAGCTCCGCTGCTGGGACGTCTCGGGGTGGTGAACGTTATCCTGCAGTGCTCAGTGCAGCACTGCTGTCACATGGGCTTCGCCCTTCAACGACGCGCTCAGCCCCCGTCCCTACTGCACAACGGCAGTGTGCCCCAAAGCACTCTGATCCCTGGCCGGGCAGGTAACAGGGTAATGGGGTAGCATGGCACTAGGGGTGCTGGAGACACTGGAACACAGGAGGCTGGGATTCCCAGCGGCCATGGGGCGACTGGGTCCCATACTCGGGTGATGGGTCAGCTAGGGCATGCTGAACAGGGGTTGCTGGGACGCCCAGCCCTGATGCTGCAAGGCTGTCAGGGTCTGGAGGTGCTTGGGGCACACGGGTGCCGCACAGGGGGAGATGCCCGTACCCACACCGGTACCCGTACCCACACCCGGGGTGCCGGCGGGTCCCTGGGGTCCCCCCACACCGGGCCCCAGGTGCGCAGGAGGCGGAGCCTACTTGGAAGCCCCGCCCCGACCCTCGCCCCCTGGTCCTCACAGCCAATAGGAAGGCGGCGGGAGTGCTGGCCCCGCCCCCCAGCGCCAGACCACGCCCCTCGTCCTAAAAGCCGCCCCCCGGGCCCGGCGCCGCCAGAGAGGGGAGCGTCCGCCCGCCGCCATGGAGTGAGTGTCCGGCCCGGCCCCGCCCGGCCCCGGTGAGTGCCGCGACCACGGGCCGGGAGGGACCGGCAGTCTGTGCTCGGCTGTCCCTGCTGGGTCACAGCGTGACTCCGTCTTGGCTAGGGATGGAGTCTCGGCGGCAGCCCGGTGGCGTACGGGGACGAGGACGCTGGTGGCCGGTCCCCAGCACGGTGGCCTCGTGGGTCCCGTCCCACGGGCAGTCCCTGGTGCGTGTCCGGTGCTGCCTCATCGTGGGGAGGGGTGAGGTGCGGCGGGGGGGACTCCTGCTGCCCCAGGTGTCACTGCTGCTGACTGGGTGACAGTGACCCATCCTGCCAGCAGCCAGGCTCCAGGATACGTGTGGGACCCGGCGCGGTCCATCCATGCGTGCCAATCCCAACGCGGCAGCAGGGCTCGCTGCTCGGGAGACAGCAAGCAGGGAGCCGCTAGCGTCCGATAGGGAAGCGTGCCAGCAGGGCCGCCGGCCACGGGGATGCCCCACCGGCTTCCTGCTGCGCCTGCTGGGGTGACCCCGGAGCTGCCACCCTGCCGGCCGTGACAGGGGCTGAGCATCCCTCACTCCTCCCTTGTGCCCGCCGAGCCGCCAGCAGCACCCGGGCATCCCAGCGGGCGACGCTGCGGTGACAGCACCGAGCAGAAGCGCGTCCCCGTCCTCGAGTGAGCCTGTCCCGTCCTGGTGGCGGCGGCCTGGCCTGACCGAGGACCGGGTGCTGCCCACACGGCGCTGGGCCGTGCCGCCGTGACGAATGACACTAATTACTATTTTTCCTCGCACCACGCCAAGCCCGGTGGCCCAGCCGGGTCGCCCTGACGCAACGCTGCCTGCCCGGCTGGCTCCGCCACCCGACGGGACGCGGCGGGAGGAAGCGCTCGGGGACAGCACGGCCACAGTCAGGCCGCAGGAATCCGCGCGTGGCAGCGGGGCGGCACCGCCGGCTCCGGGCGAAGCGGCTCTGCTGGTTTTTCCCCTTCCCGGCACCTGAGAGCGTGGCCGGGTCACCGGGGCAGGAGCGGGCCGAGGGGCTGGCGCGGGGGGAGGCAATAAGCAGGCCTGCATTCCTCCCTGGCTGCTGCGGAAACTTTAATTAAATAGGGAGGGAGCGCGGGAGGAGGTGGGAGCTGCGGCGGAGGGCGACTGGAAGGGAAAAGGAGGACTGGGGGCTGGTCGTGCAGCTCCGCTGGGCACGGGGAGGGGGCGCGCACTTACACGGGTGTGTTGGGGGCGTCAGGGAGGGCCCCGCGATGCTGGGCTCGGAGCCGGGGAAGGCCCCGCATTCCTGTGCGCGGGGCCCGGGGCGGCGGTGGGGATGGAGCTGTGTGTGCCGGTGCCCACCGGGCTGGCTGCGTGCCGGCAACAACGGCGGCTTTGTTCTGCACGGGGAGCCGAGTGGACATGGGGCCTCACTCACCGGGCTGGGGGGACAGGAGGGGTGTCCTGGCTGTGCTGGGTTCAGGAATCCACTGTGATGTAGGGTGCGATGAGAGCTTGTGGGACTGCGCAGTCCCCTCCGGCTCTTAAGGCCCAGTCCTGGGGTTCAGGGCACCCTGCGCTCGCCACCCTCTGAGCCAGTTGGGCACAGACCCAGGTGAGCGCACAGCCCTGCAGGCACTGCTGGTACCAGGGATGCTCACCCAGTGGCAGGGCCACCATTAGTTTCCTTGTGGCAGTGTGGAGCTCCAACTGCCCCCTCCTGCCCAGGTGTCACCCTGCAGCTTAGGGCTGGGGACACACTACTGTCACCACAGCAGCCGGCGCTGCCACCTACCCTGTGCTGTGCCTGGCTGGCATCGGGCTCTCCCTTGGGCACAGAAAGGGGTGCCATGTCCCCGTGTGCACCAAGTGGACACCCAGCTGCTCAACCCAGAGAATGGGAATAGTGCTCCCACTCCCTCAGGCTGGCAGGGAAAGGCTGTGCAAGAGGGGGAGGCTGAGCCTGGATCCTCCTGCAGCCGGAAAATATGAATAATTCGGCAAGTATCTGCGGTGCAGGCCTGGGGAGCTCAGCCAAGGAGCAGCGGGCCGCTGCCAGGGCAAGATGGCCAAGCACCTCTGGGAGAACCACTTCTCCCCGGTGCGGCCGTGCTGCCCCTGCCAAGCTGCCAGGCTCCAGGCTGGGCTCACCTCTTGGCCCCACGTGCCCATTAAGGGGCTGGGCAGCGTGCTGGTGTGTGCCGCAGCAGCACGATGGTGCTGGCAGAGCGGTGGCAGAGGTGTGGAGCCACAGGTGGAGCGCGTGGTGCCCGACCGGCAAGGCAGGATGCTCGGCCGCGGTCACGACCCAGCCCAACCTGCTCGGGGCCAGTGAGCGGAGCCTGGCAGCTGGGGAGGAAATGCCAGCATAATTAAAGGGCTGAGAGGCTCAGAGTCAGCAGCTGGTTGCAGCACGGACACGTCAGCGAAACCCGACCCTGGCATTGCAAAACCAGGTCCCAACCCAGGGCCTGTGCCCCGCCGGCACCATGCTGCCCACCCCGGCAGGCAGTGCCCTGCACCGTGCTGCCCTCGAGGCTTTGGCTATCCCAGCGTGCCTGCTGTCCCCGCTCAGCTGCCCCATGTCCAAGCTGAGGGTTGGTGCTGTCACCTCCATCCTCCAGCTCAGTGCTTAATGCCAGCAGTGTCCCCCAGCCACTCGAGGCTGCATGATGCTCTTGTGGCACAGCCTGACCACCATGGCTACGGCTCGCTGGGTACCCTGCCCCAGGGTCAGCCACGCATGGGGTGTGGGCTGGGGGCTCAGTGACCCGTGACCGCATGGCCACAGAGCGGCTCCTCCCAGTGCTGGTGTCCCTGGGCCAAGTGACTCAGGCGGCTGTGGTGACCCTGCCCAGCGGCGCGGGCGCACCCCACCCTTGGGCGCACCCCAGGCCCACAGCCTCCTCCTTAACCCTGTCCTGCTGCAGGCGAGCGCGGTGATCCAGGGGGATTTGGGGTGTGGTGTTGCCCCTTGCAACAACTGGGGCTCAGCACAGCCTGGCTGAGGCCCCCCGTGGCGGGGCATGGGGCGGCCAGCAGCACGTGCTGCTGTGCTACCCGGTAGCCCCCCGCGCACAGCGGGGCCCCAGTGAGTTGCAGGGTTTTATTTGCCTGCAGTTATTAACGACTTTCAGCAGCCCGGCAGGAGGGGAGGAAGTGATTGGTGCGCTGGGAAGGGGCTGCTAGGGCCATGCACCCTGCGGAGCCCCCCCTCTGTCACCCCATGTGCCCTGCCATGGGGTGATGAAGGAGGCAGGGCCCTGCCCCTCCTGCCCTCAGCCC